CGGACTAAGGCCATCACGTTGAGCAGAATCTGTATGAGCTTTTACTACTCTGAGGCAGAATTAAATAAAACATGTATTTTAAGAACACGTATTTGGCAATAAATCTATTCCTATAATCTAGCAGCAATGGAGGAATGCTAACTCTGGCACAGCAGTTCAAGTGCACGGGCGGAGAGAACCTGAGTGTGTGGCTGACGCCTGCTGCTTGCCAGCGTTCTGAGCTCGTTCCTCAGCCTCTCGGAGGCGCCTTTTCTTCCTTCAGCCCATAAAATGGGGGCAATAACAGGACTTATTTGACAGGGCGTTTACGAGGACAAAAGGGGAACGTGGGTAAAACACACAGCCTGTTGCCTGACACATGTGGGTTCTTTCTCTCTCGTCTTTCCTCTTCTTCCTCTTCTCCTCCACAGGGATGGCCACAGCACAGCCAGTCAGGCAGGGAAGTCAGGGCAGAAGGGCTAGGGCTGCTCCAGGGCCAAGACATTCACCTGAGACATTCATCACATACCGGGGACAATGCAGTGGCAGGTCACTTCTTGTCCCTAGTCAGAGGGACTTCAAGGTATCATAACTTGAGCATTTAAAATCACAGCCTTATTTGCAGTCAAAGTCTCATGAGGTCTGAACGTATCAATTAGAAGTAAAATAAGGCTGTTATTTACCTTAGAGAATTTCTATGAGGAGTCAGATAACTCCTGTGCAGAGAGCAGCACAGCTCCGTCTGGTTCACAGTAGGCCGAAAATGGTGGTTACCTTACAAATTTGCTTCTCCTGGAAAACTTCCTGAGAGGACGCAAAGAATGGAGGGGACTCACACCAAATGTCCAGTCATGTGTCGGGGAGGAGACGCCCCACATCAGCCCGTAGAGGATTCTTTCTGAACAACCAGCACATTCTTAAATTAGCTCACAGGACTAGGTCAATACTTAAATGTAAAACATCTATTCCTGGGGCACCTGGCTGGCCCAGTTGGTTGAGCTTCGCACTCTTGACTTCAACTCAAGTCAAGTTCTCACGGGTTTTGAGTTCAAGCCCTGCCTTGGGCTCTGTGCTGACAGTGTGGAGCCTGCTTAGGATTCTCTCTCTCTCTCTCTCTCTCTCTCTCTCTCTGTCCCTCTCCCCAGCTTGCACACACACACACCCTCTCTCTCTCTCTCTCTCAAAATATAATAAATAATAAAGAAATAAAATCTTAAAAAAATAAAAGTTCTATTCTTGACCAAATGTCAACAAACAGAAGAGTAAAAATGTTCTTTAAGAAAATGCCTCTTACAAGGCATGCATCAATTATTAAATTTCCATAATTTATGATTTTTGTCAGTGGAAATTTTTTGTGTGAAATACCTAACAAATGTTTCATTTTTGGCAGTGACGCATTGTGAGAAAAACGATAACGTTTTGTTCTTTATCATTGTGTTGATGGCACGTTGGAGTGCCTCACAGACCTGTAAGTGCTGCTATCCAGTCAGTGGTAAGACCCAAAAAAGATAAATCTTCTCAAAGGAAATTAGGTGAAGCCAGCGGGCCATTAGCTAATCCTTCTGGAACACTTTATTGTGGGCATGTAGAGAAAGGACTGAATGATGGACACTTAAGATCAGGCAACATGAAAGAGGTAATCCTCCAAAGTAAAGCTGTTTGTTTTATCACTCCTTTATTTTTCAGTAGATAATAAAGTTATATGAAGAGCTAAGCAAACATTTTACCAGATATAAATACATTAAGAATTATGAATATAGAACTATAGTGCGGAAGCGTCTTCTGTGTATAAACAGAAGGATGTATATAAACAGAAGTGTCATGTTGGCATAGGAGTCAGGGCATTAACTGTTTTCAAAGCCATAAACATGGACAAACTAGAGAAGAAAAGCAGCAGAGAGAGAAAGAGCGATGCTTCAAGTTCAATCAGATAAACAATGGCCTCAGTATACATATTGCACAGGATAGAGTACTTTCTCTTTTGCATACGTGGCTTTCTCTGCCCCCTTCCACCCTTAGATATGGTGTTTTCCAGATCCTCGCCAAGCCATACTGCTGCTACCGCAGCTCCGTTCCTCTCGCTGGTCTAGAGTTCAGTTTCCTGATTCCTTGAGTGACGCGTGGTTTCAGAGCCCCAGGTCCAAGACACATTTTCATCCACATCTGCACTTTGCCAGTATGCACGTGCAATCAGAACATGACCCGGGAGCAGTGATTCAAATTGTTCTCAAAGGTCAAAGGTCACTCAGCCAACTCAGCCCCCCGACCAGCAGCCCCAGCTTCTTCCTTACCTCTCTTCCTCTTTCTCTCACTTCCTCCCATCTCTCCTTCCCTCTCGCCTTCAAGAATATTCTCATCCTGACTGTAGATGCAGAGAGCAGCCCTAGGACCTGACCACCTCTAAAAAGGTCTCATTTTAGTTCTTTCTAGATTAAAAAAAAATCAAAAGTGTTCAATCAAAAGAGGATCGACACTGTGGCCCTTCACTCTCCCCAGCGGAAGCGGAAGCGGGCAGTCCTGCCGCCCTGTGGGATTCCCTTCCCCCTTCCTCCCCGAGGCCTCTTCTCCCTTTTCCTTTCTCTCCCTTTCCCTTTCTCTTTGATTCTTTCCGTTTCCTGGGGTCCCACACTGGCAGACACCTCACATCCTGTGTGTCATTCCTTCCCTTCCAGGCTTCCTCTGCACCGGGTACAAACGGCACCAGCATTTTAGCCAGGAAGAAAGCTGCTTTAAAATCTGGCAAAAACAAGCAATGGAAAGAGATAAAGTTTTTTTTTTTTTTTAATATTTTTTATTTATTTCTAGGAGAGAGAGAGAGACAGCGTGAGCAGGGGAGGGTCAGAGAGAGAGGGAGTCACAGACTGAAACAGGCTCCAGGCTCTGAGCTGGCAGTCAGCACAGAGCCCGACGCGGGGCTCGAACCCACGAACCGCGAGATCATGACCCAAGCGAAAGTCGGACGCTCAACCGACTAAGCCACCCAGGCGCCCCGGAAAGATATAAAGTTTAAATGAGTTAGCACACTCATTACTGGGGGACTTGTTGAAATGTTTCTCCGAATTCCAACCTTTAGTGAAATGTTCTCATCCGTTTCTAGTGAGGAAAACTTGAATGACTTGCTTCAGCAGAACTCGTATCGACAGCAGTCATTATTGCTTGAATTCCGTAAGTAGGCTGAACATCCAAACTTAAAACTTTTCTTAATGTTTACTTATTTTGGGGGCGAAGGGGTGTGGTGCAGAGAGAGAGGGAGACACAGGACCCGAAGCAGGCTCCAGGCTCTGAGCCGTCAGCACAGTTGGGCCCCTGAACCTCCAAACTTTAAAAATTTAATGTAGGGATTCCTGCCTGGGTGAGTCACGTTAGGCTGAGCATCAGACTTGGGCTGAGGTTATTTATGATCTGGTGGTTCCTGAGTTCCAGCCCTGCATTGGGCTCTGTGCTGTCAGCCAGTGGGGGGTGGGGGAGCCTGCTTCAGATCCTCTGTACCCACTCCCGCCTCTCTCGGCCCCTCCCCTGCTTGCTATCGCCCGCTCTCTCTTTCTCTCTCTCTCAAAAATAAATATTAAAAAAAAAATTAAAGCAAAGTTTCAACCCCGGCCAATATTTTCATGAACTGATAGTAAATAAGATAGAGCAACTGAAGTAAGTCAACAACTCCATTACAAAAAACTCAGGAAAGAATTCCAAACAGCTAGATGTGCTAATTATCGTCTTCCGTGGGTGCAGCAGTCCCCACGGGGCGCAGTCTGACACATACACTTTTGTGTTTTTATACTATTTGTTCTGGAAATTCCCTCGGGGACAAAACGCATCGGGTCTTTGTTTAATTCTTTGTAACAACTGGTCCAAATGCTAGGTAGGTACTAAGTTTTTCTTGAAGGTGATCAGTTGGATAGTAGATAATAAATATGGTTTTTGACCTCCAGACAGTGCACAAAATAAACTCATGTCTGATCTTTATTTATCAAATTTCGTTGCCACAGTCGATGTGATAACCACACCTAAAAATGAAACACACCTGCTCATACCAAATGGCTACATTGCTTCTGGGTGCAAACAAAGACCGAGAACCCGGGTTCTGAAGTGCACGAGCTGAGAAGCCTCCGTTCCTCCATTTGTTAAGCAAGCCTGTGTGGTAGACAGAACGATGGCTCCTCCAGGGTGTCCACTTCCTCATCCCCAAAACCCGTGAATACGTTACCTCACACGGCAAACAGGACTTTGCAGTTGTGACTAAGGATCTTGAGATGGGGAGGTTATTCACGTGGGTGCAATGTGATTGCTGTGGTCCTTACACGGGAAACGGGGAGGCAGGAAACTGAAAGGTTACAGCAGAAGCAGAGGTCAGAGTGAGGCGGGGGCCTCTAACCAAGGAAAGCGAGTGTTCTCTAGAAGCTGGAAAGCGCAGGGACGTGGCTTCTCCCCTGGAGTCTCCAGAAGGAACATATCCCTGCAGACCCATTTTCGATTTCTGGTCTTCAGAACTGTGAGAGAATACACTTTTGTTGCTTTAAGCCACTAAAATTCTAGTTATTTGTTACAACACTAAGAGTAAACTAGTACAGTGCTTTCGTTAATGCCTTCCTTATAGGGTTGTGCACTAAAGGATTAAATGAAAGCAGTTATGGGAAGACTCAGCACAGTGCCTGATATATAGAAAATAAATATAGAAATAAATATAGAAATATAGAAAGAAATGAATATAGAATAAATGCGGTCTACACAGCATCACCCATAACCCCACTGAGTTCTTCCAGAGCTCCCCGCAAAACGTAAGGAGAAAAGACCAAGTATTTAAGAGCAGAGAGAAGAAGCTAGTATTTACTGAGCTAGGTCGGCACTTTACACACTGCAATGCCCACAAGCCTGGGAGGTGGGAGAGCTTAAGAAAACTGCCCACTATCATGCAGCTAACAAGATGGTAAGTCCTGATTCAAATCCCAGTCTCTCTGAATTAAAAGCCCATGATTTTTCTAGCATTCCTTTAGACTTGATAATAGAAAAAAAAAGGGGGGGGCGCCTGGGTGGCTCAGTTGGTTAAGCGTCTGACTTTGGCTCAGGTCATGATCGTGGGTTTGAGCCCCACGTTGGGCTCTGTGCTGACAGTGCAGGGCCTGGACTCTGCTTCGGATTCTTTGTCTCCCTCTCTCTCTCTGCCCCTCCCCTACTTGTGCTCAGTCTCGGTCTTTCTCTCTCAAAAATAAATAAACATTAAAAAAAATTTTCGAAAAAAGAAAAAAGTGGTACTTCTATCTTGAAACACTTGTTTGTGTAAAGAAGACATTTTAACATACCTTCATTCTCAAATAATTATTTACTACTCATTTTGTATGGAGTCCTGTCCTAAGTTCATAGTGCTATGGTGACTGTGACTTTGGCAGCTCTGCGGGCCAAACAAGGGCTGTAGCGGCCATAGTAATAATAATTCGTTCATTATATTTGTAAAGCACTTTTACAACTTAAAAAGGACTTTCAAAAATAGATCCTTTCAAGAGTCTCATGATTTCTAAAAGGCAAGTTTTACTATTTCCTTTTGATAAGAACTCTGAGGATGACAGGCTGCTTTGCCCCAGGCACATGTCTAAATGACATACCAGAAACACGTCTCCTGATTGAAAATTTCATGCCATGTCCATTACACTGGTCTCTGGGAGTGTCCTTCCCACCACGGTCTGAAAAGTGACTTGCAAACTCTCTCCAGCAGAGTGCCTCAGCTGTGGTCAGCTGGCAATCATGCATTTAGGCAACGAGTCCGGAAACAGTGTGCTGAGCTCTGGAGTTATTTTGAGGTCAAAAGCCAGATCTTTTTATGCTGCACATTAAGCTTCCACAGAAGGAACTGGAGATTACTTCTATGGGGTTTGGAGTCAAGTTTTGCTAAAGGTCATTGTATCTTAGAGCTTGCTTGAAACCCTGTATTCTGTGCAATAGCTGCAAATTCTTCACATAATTGTGGTAGGTTCTTCTATTTTATTTTTAGTTGCAGTGGTGTAAAAAAGAATAACCAATATTTCTCTTTGAAGTTTTCCTGTACAAACATAGTAGTCTCTCTTCTCTCTCCAAGTTTGGTAGCCTGTATTCATTTGTTTCCAGGAATTTTTCTTTATACAATATAAATTCATTCCCACAGATGTGAGATAATTACACTTTAGGCAACCCCCTTCCTTTGTAATTATTTACCAGTTCTCTATCCTTTTCTCAAGATGTACATAATTAGTCAAATGAATACACTTAATACTCCCCTCATTTTCATATAAGTTTACATGCTGTTTTAAATGTGCAAAAATTGGGCGCCTGGGTGACTCAGATGGTTAAGTGTCCAACGTTGGCTCAAGTCATGATCTCACTCTTCGTGGGTTCGAGCCCTGTGTTGGGCTCTGTGCTGACAGCAAGCTCAGAGCCTGGAGCCTGTTTCAGATTCTGCGTCTCCCTCTCTCTCTGACCCTCCCCTTCTCACGCTGTCTCTTTCTCTCTCTCTCTCAGAAATAAATAAAAAACATTTAAAAAAACTTAAAAAAAATAAATGTGCAAAAATTGTTCAGAGGACTCCTACTTCTGCATTCACTTATTTATAATTTAAGTATTATTGTAGGGTCCCACTGATGTTTCGCGTATGTTTAAATCTTCATTTAAAAAATAAGTTTGAAATTTAAAATTCAGTGAATTTTGTGTTTGGTTTTATTTTGAAATATAGTCATATTTCAAATCCCCTCCTCCCTTCCTACTTATATGCTGTGTATTCATGAATTGAAACTCTCTGATTTCTCAGCAATTTTATTTTTAGAAGTTTTGAATAAATTAATGATTAAAATGGTAGAATGAGACAGATGACATTTTGCTACACAAACACATTTTGTCTCGTCACAGTGATAATATATATACAGTGAAGCATTTTATAAATAAGTTACTGTACTTTATTCATTCTAAGACAGACATGTTTTCACGCTTTACCATTGTTGAAATTAAGACATGTCCTGTATGGTAAGAAAGCATAGTTTAATTAGCAGTGTTTTTTCTATTTTTTAAAATTTATTATTATTATTTTTTAAATTTGAGACAGAGAGTGCATGAACAGGGGAGAGGTGCAGAGGGAGAGAGAAACTTAAGCAGGCTCCAAGGTCTCAGCACAGAGCCCCATGCAGTGCTCGATCCTATGACCCTGGGATCATGAGCTGAGCTGAAGTCAAGAGTTAGATGCTCAACCAACCAACTGAGCCACTTCGGGGCCCCAGCAGTGGGTTTCTTTTTTTTTTTTTTTTTCTATCTCAACACTATGATGTAAAATAAGGCTGCATCTTCAATTTGGTAGCACTTTAGATTCAATTAAATAAAATATATACCAAGGCTATTCTACATGCTTTATAGATTTCCTCACCTAATCTTCTAAGCAATCCTATGATACAGGCAAAACTATTCTCCACGTTGGCCAGAAGAAGGAACCTGCCCCCATCGTTTACCAGCTATACCACAGTCTGTGGCATGCTGATAACAACTAGTTCCCATAAGAGTTGGGGGAAAGCTTTGATTTGTAGCATTTGCTAATTTCCATGGCATTAATAGTGTCACATGGCCAACTTCAAGCTACCAACATGCAGCCACTGAACATAGAATTAGGAAGATATGCCCAAAATTGGCTCTGTGAGCAGGTGTGAGCTGGCCCAGGCATACCACTTACCTTATGTGTTCTTCCTTTATCAAACCTCTGGCTTTAATATCACTCACACACCAAATACCACAACACCCAGCTCTTCATTGGTCATTTCCACTTGGAAGCCCTACTGGCCCCTCTAGTCTGAGAAAATAGTTTTGAAAATATGGTGGTGAGACTCTATGCTGCTTACAAGCTAGCAAATTAGCCTGCCACAGTTTCGTGGACGTTGTTACAATGCTCCTGGATCATAGACCAAGGGCCTTATTATCCACAGAGAAGCAGTAGCCATAGCACTGACATTTCTTTCTTTTTTTCTTTTTTTTTTTTTTTTTCCCCAGCAGGGGCAACAGTGTGAATCTCCCCTCCCAGCGGAGGATAGAGAGGCCGGCAGGTACAGAAGGTAGCATTACAGGCAAAGGAACCTGGGTTCGGGCACCCACATCTTACATGGGGAGTAACCTTGCCTGACTTTTGTCTTCGAGGGAAACACTATCTGCAAGACTGTAAGCAAACCTCCCCTTTGCTTCAGAGGAAACACTCTGCTCTCTCTGTCTTCCGAGAGTGCTCACTATACAATCATCTTTGAAAGGACGGTCTGGAACAAGATGTGCAGAAACATGAGAGACCCACGGAGAAGTTTCCGATGGCCACCTACAGAGGTGAGGGCTGACTCCGTCTAACCTGTCTCTCATGGCGTTTAATTAAAGCTACTCTCCACAGCATTCCAGTTGCAGCAAGCTGGGGCAAATCTGCAGTATTGACCACAATCATACCCCTAGGATCCTGGATACAACTAGCAAAATGAATTCCAAAAGCCATCGGAGTCTTACACAGCCGTATGGCTTTCTCCTTTAGTTTCTGTATTGACTTTTCCACTTGGCCTCAGGTATTAATACAGGTACAGTATTACACACCCCACAGACTCTGCCTTGTAAAGAAGACACCTAGGGTAACTTACCTGTGACAGCCCTGGCCAGTGAATTGAAGATGACCGGAAGGCCTTCCAGGGTCGAGGTGGTGTCAATAATCACTCCACCTAGAGTTAGGGACAGTTTTTATTTTTTTTAATTTTTATTTTAAAAAAATTTTTTAATGTTTTATTTATTTCTAGGAGAGAGAGAGAGAGAGAGACAGAGCGAGCAGGGGAGGGTCAGAGAGAGAGGGAGTCACAGACTGAAACAGGCTCCAGGCTCTGAGCTGGCAGTCAGCACAGAGCCCGACGCGGGGCTTGAACCCACGAACCGCGAGATCATGACCCAAGCGAAAGTCGGACGCTTAACCGACTAAGCCACCCAGGTGCCCCTGGGGACAGTTTTTAAATCATCTTTTCTAATATGATAGGATGACTTGCATCCATAGGGATCACATCAGTAAGTCAGTTAACCTTCTGGAAACTTTACTGAAGTAATAAAGCCTCATTTTGGAGAGATCTCTGCTGCTGCCTGAGGGCTATATGATCTACTTACGGTGTTTCCTTAAATAATCAAAGGTCTCTTATGTTTACCCCTAATGTGCAAGGCAGAAAGATTTTTGGAGAGAAGGAAAGTGAATGCCCAGTTTCCATACAGAAAGCCCAGTCGCAGGGGCACACGTGGTGCCCCTGGGAAGAAAATGTTTATAATTGCCGGGTCCCCCTAAGTGGGACCGACATCAGTCAGGGAGCACAGGCCGACAGTGCAGCTGGTGGCCTCCCAGCTGTCAGGCAGGTTTCAGGGATCCCAATTCCATTTGCCTAATTGGGTCCAGCCATTACTTTGGAGGGACTACCTAAGAGCAGTCAGTCCAGCCTGCACAGTTTCTCCACACGACCAGCTGAGTGGCTTTTTTCTCTCCCGTTGAATGACTAAGTGATAACTATAGAAATGTGAGTGAAAAAGACATCCAGTGGTGTTGCCGGGTTTTTTGTTTTTTTGTTTTTTTGTTTTGATCTGGGAGGTATAGAAACTGAGGCCCTCTTCTGCCATTCCCAATAGATATTCTTGATGCGATTAAAGGGAATGGTGCCCTAACAGTGGTGAGAGCTGTCCGGGGGAGGATATGAGACTCAACAGTTAAATTTCAGACACTTTAAAGAGCTTGAGAGAGGTTTTGCAAACTCTAGGTACAGCTCTGAAACAGAAAGACCATTAATTAGCCCGTCCTTTCCCATGCCCTTTGGTTCTTGGGATATTCCTTCTACTGCCAAAAAATCAACGTGCTCCATTCCAGTAGCTACACATTTGCCTTTATCCAATCATCCTCTACTTGTATTTCTCTTTTTACTTTTGTTTTTAAAAATGCTTTAGTTCATTTTTTAGAAAGAGACAGAGCATGAGCGGGGTAGGGGCAGAGAGAGGCGGGGACACAGAATCCGAAGCAGGCTCCAGACTCTGATATGTCAGCACAGAGCCCGGTGTGGGGCTTGAACTCACGAACGATGAGATCATAACCTGAGCTGAAGTCG